AATACTGAGACTGAAAAAAAAACATAGTAAGCAGAGGTTACTGTCACTGTAGTGTACAGTAGTGTATAGTTATTACATTAGGCAAGCTAATCAGGGAGGGCCTGCCTTCCTGTTATGTAAACTCTAGATGAAAATCACGCAAGTGGAAAGAGATGAGAAAATAAACCCCCATGGTTTCAAGGCTAAATCCTGGCCATTTGTAAGGAAGAGGAGAAGGCTAAATTACATGTTAAAAGTTCACTGTCTCTAGGCAGGCATGAACTTGAAGAAAATGAAGCAGAAAATCCATCCTCACACATAAAATTATTTCTGCCGTGAGTTATTTGACAGTTACCTCTTGCTTCCATTCTGACATAAGTTGAAAGCAGTGTTTAATTTTCTCAATATCCTACTAATAATGAAGATCTCCAATGCATTCAAGAAAAATTGGAAGGGAGGAAATGGGTTTTAAAAATAAATTAACTAAGCAAAATATTTTAATCCAAAATGTCTTGCCTGTTAATATTGGGTTTTAGTGTGTTAAAATTAAAATGACAATTTAAACTAAATTTCTATGCAAATTAATGTAATAGCCTTTCATTCTACCTTGAGTTACAGAGGCTGTGTGTGAACTTACAGCTCCACTAAAACATCAAAAAATGCTCTAAGTTTATTCAATTATCTGTTCACTTACAAGGACTGAAAGCAAGCAGTATGGCAAGGATGTGCGGGCACTTGCTCAATAGACAATTTTCACCCCAGCAACAGCATAGGAAGGCCTCCTGTCCCTGCAGTACTGTAATCCCCCACTGCTCCTGGTGCCTCAGCCCCCAGGGAGCCACCAGCCTGCCTGTGCCCTGCTGTAGTCTTAATTAAGTCTTGCAGAGCAGCCGTTCCGTAGGAAAAAGCTAATATAGACATGCTGTTAAAACGAGTTGAAATTAAAGCTATAGGCCCTAACTAACAGCTCCTCACTTTTCCTTAGTGCTGAATGTCATTCTCAGTACTGGCACCTTTGTGCTGCCTAAAGCAGACGTCTTATGTCATGAATTCTAATCTGACCATCCTGAGGAGGAGACAAACTATGTGGGTAGTGTTGAAAAAAGGAGAGTCGCAGTATCAGGGAAAAAAACCATGTCCTTTTTAGTCTGTATAAGCACCTATAGTGTTTTGAGGATGTATCCATTATGCTTACATTGGGTGCTCTCTACTGACTTTCTTTCTGCTCAGTCTTAGCGCAGATTGTATTCAAAGTTGGTAATAAAGACAGTTCATTTTTATAAATCTGAATCTATTTTTACAAGTCATTTAGTTTTTGAACAAATTGAAATGAAAAAGAGAACGGTCCAAAAATGTGGTGTACTTGAAAACTAGAAAGAGAATACCAACTTTTATGTTGCAGTAGCACGTCATTCCTGCTGTTCCACAGTTTGACTCTGAGGTGCTCACATTTTTTAATCAGATGTCTTTTGTTGGGTGTGGGCATCTGCTGAGTGAATCCATCAGTAGGAAGATCCATTCAGTAAGGAAGATATGTGGGTCTGCTATATATTCTGTCCATATGCCCTGGAAAGCCAGGAGAGGACCATTTTGCTCAGGGCTCTTGTGTAATGAATCCAAGAGCCAGAGCAGCATGTGTTCATTATTAATTGTAGACAGACAGTGAAGAAGCTCTTTGCCCCCAGATTTTGCCTAGTGGAGCATAGTGCCATTTCACAGGCTACTACAATAGCTATTACTTAACAGTGCATGGCCATTGATCTAAATTCATCTAATCATTTTAAAATTATTGTGATATCTAGAAATAAAATCCAAATTCAATAAAACCTCTGGTATGCACTTTCTGTCTCTCTCTCTGATCTCTTCTGTTTTCTCATCCTCTTAAAAAGCAATAAGAGAAGTAATAACTCGGCTAATAAGGTATACATAAGGCAGAATTTTCAGAGCTTTTATAGATGAAAGGTATTTATTTGTTCCAGTAAGTAACTCTCATGGCTTTCCTCATTGTTTTAAAATCAAGCATTGAAGTTCCTCCGCAGGTTTTGTTGTTTTAAGGCAATTCTTTTCTATTGTGCTGTGTCAAGTGTTACACTCCATACCCACATCAGGAACTGCTCTGTTTTAAAACAAAGTTTATCCAGAACTTCCTGATATTTAAATCCTGTTACTTCTGAAATTTACTTGATCACTATTAAATGTTGGCTGGTGATCTGTCATCTGTATGCACCAGTCCCAGAAAATACTGCAGAAGAATTGTGATAAAGGATCCTTAAGGCTTAAAAACGTGTCTGAGAACATTTCACATAACCTGCCATTAGACTGAAAGCACAACTAAACGTAACATGCATTTAACTAGTAACACTCCTCTGTGAAATTACCCACTGTTAACAACAGTAAAGCAATTTTCACAGAAGTTTCATTTACTTCAAGTGATTTCTTTAAATGGGTAATGTAGAAAAGAAAATCACTACAAATTTCAAAGTGAAGAAGCCAAGGTAAAGAGACTATTTCACTAATAGCAATTTTCTGTTAATGGATTGGGTGGAAAGTTGTGTGGTCACACTGCTTTGGTTGTCCTAGCATTGGTATTCGTCGTAACTGCACACGAGATAGGAGATGACTGCAGTCATGGATGCAAAGGTTAATCCTACAAAACACATTTATTAAACCTGTCAAAATAACAAAATATCTAAATCATCACTACTGCAAGTTGTCTCATTTTATGCTTTAGAGCCCATCTGATTATGAAATACAAAAAGGAATTAAAATAATGGAGTAGGGAAGAAAAAGAGTGACAACAAAATTAATGATAATAAGAAACTATTATTTCAGAAGTACGGAAAACAGGACGGCTTTCATCCTTTATTTATCAAACTGTGCCACAGGAAAAAAAGTCTCCTTTGAATCAGAAGAGTATTTGAGGTTTTAGTTCTTTTTTCAGAGTGAGGGAGAACCATGGCAGAGAAGGCAAGCTGTTCTTCCTCCCAGAGATGCTGTTGACAGTTTTACAACAGACTGCTATGTAAAATTTGCCAACCACAAGATGTGCCAATATGCTGTTGGTATAAAACCCCCTCAGAGCAAACCTCCCTGACTGACCCGAACTGATGCCGTGATAATGCCTGAACTGATGTGATGATGAACAACGAGGGGTTGCTTTAACCGCTCCTCTTAGGAAATGCCAGAGATGTTACTGTTCCTCAGTCTTTGTTGCTGCCCAAAAGGTCATACAAATTCAGTGACCTTCTTTTCTTCTGAGATGGTTCTGCTCTATTGCCGTTCTGACACTAAGCTTCCCAGATGTGAAGAAGGAGAATTTACGCTGTTGCTGTGTACCATTCACCTGCCTTGCAAATAAGTAGAATATTTTAGCCTTAGAGCTCGTAAGCAGCTTACCAGTCTAGCACTGTAGCTTCTTAGAAGCTGTACAGAAAAAAAGCTGTACAGTAGAACTTAGGACTGTCAAGGAAGCTACAGGAAGGGGAAGGATAAAACACAGATCTATTTTAGAAAATGCAGACTCTGAATTTAAATGTATTCATTTAGGCATTGAGAGGCCAAAAGCACGAACAGGTGATTGTGTAGTGTGATAGCAGTTCTTTTTATGAAGTACTTATTCTCTAGATGTGCTCATGCCTTATTATATTTAGACAACATATACTGCTAGCAATTCTAGGACTTTAAGTGAGCATGTTTTCTCTCTTAAAGAATGCGTGAAAGGTAGTGTAAGATACAAGATAAAAAGAGTACTAAAGGTATGTAAGAGCACTAAATACATATAGACGTGCTTTAATGCTAAAAGCTCATTAAAGTGAGTCAATAGAACTTCCTTTTACTTGCATGCTCCACATTTAAAATGTACAGAGAAAAAAAAAGGGATATTTTCTCTGATTTGTTTTACTCTATTCGTATGTCCATTTGTCTGACATGGGTTAGGTTGAGGTGCCCAGACTTCTACATAGCTCTGTTTATAACAAGAAGACCCAGTGTTATTTTTGCATACTACTATATCGGAAGAAAGAAATGGTTGCATTTTTAGTATCTGAGTGACTTGGTCTCTTGCTCAAATTTTCTCTTTAGTTGCTTATAATTTAATAATCGCAGAATCACAAAACAGTTGAGGTCAGAAGGGACCTCTGAAGGTCATCTAATCCAACCCCCCTGCTCAAGAGGAAACACCCACAACAGATTGCTTAGGACTATGAATCATCTCCATATTCAAAATATAGTGTGAGGGGTGTTGCTGACCAACTGTTCAGTTGGGAAATTAAACAATCTGATAGTTTAGAAATGATGAAATTGCCTTGTCCTAAATGATGAGTTCACTTTAGAACTCTTTGTTACTTTGATCAATGATGTTTGACTATATATTTGGACACCTTAAAAGGGCCTGCCTTCAATGTTCTGAAAGTGTGATTTTGAAAGAACTTAGTGTATTTATCTCTGTGCATCACTGCTTGTAACTTCTGGAGTAAGACTGAATGGAAGGATTGTCCATGGTGTGTGTGCATATGTCTGTGTGTGCTTCTTTAGCACTGTAGTTTCCTGAAATAAAAAAATCATGAGAAGAACAAGAGTGACAGGATGGAGATGAGGAGAGTGAGCATCTATGGCTTCATCTACTTATCTGTTTTTAAACGAAGGTATTTTTGTGGGGGAAAAAAAAAAGGAAGTATTTTAGAGATTGCATGAGAATCTTTTCATGTGTTGTTTTATGGTAAAAACGTTATGTTGGGTTTGCTTATTTTGCAAATTGTTGCTTATGACTTTCCCAAGAATGTTGATATTAAGTAAACTGAAGAATTTAGAAAAGGAGCTGGCAAATAGGAAACATTTCTGAGCTGCTGAAAACAAACCCTGAAGAAAAATAATCTGTTCTTTTTTTGTTCTATTAAAGCTGCTGCCTACCAGTCAAATGTTGATGATGTGGATGTATCAGGTTATTCCTGATACAGGGATGTATGGGAACTGCTGAATCACGGCCTGAACCTCTGACTGATCACCTGAGGTGAGCACTGAGTCAGCCCTGGGATCACAGGTGAAGACAATTCCCCTGTGCTACTGGAAGGGGGGGAGCCTGGCTGCACTGCTCCTAGACCCCATGTAAGAATTGACTACCAGTGGGGAAGGATCTCTTTTGGAGATTGCTCCTCTTGGAGTCTTCTCAGTGAGCCCAGGACAAAGGTAAGCATTCCATCCATTCTTCTTTAGCGTGATAACCTGTTTAGCCTAACTTTCCTGTATATTTCTTAATTATAGCATCTGTATATTCACTGATTACACAAGGGATTGCTGTCTGATTTCTCCAGATTTGATTGCTGATTGATACACGTTTTAGTTAGCCATCTAATAGAGGAGGAGGAGGATGTAGGGATTTCTTCGTTGACCAGGACACTGTCATGTATTTATTTTAAAGAAAGGAAAAAATGCCTTGTTCTGCTGTTCTAAGTGAAATTTTTGAGGTACATCTTAGGAAGTTTATTTACATTATTCAATGTAGACTTGTATGCTGTTTAAAAGGTACTATTTTCTAACTAAGAGGGCATCCATGAAACGTGAGATACCGTGAGAATATTTTCCCTGAATTCAGGAGAGTTGAGATCTCATCCTGAGTGCCACTCATTTTTTACCCATGTAAAATGGTGCATTCCTGATTGACTGAAGCTTATTGTTAGGTAAGCATTTATTGTAAGATTCTGTGACCAATGAGGTAATGATATGAAGTTTTCAAAATGATTCCTTTCTTCCTGATGCTCTTAAACAACACCTTAAAGGGCTTGGAGACAAAGTCTGCTGTTGTCTTCCTATTCTTCTTGTATAGATTTTTTTTTTCCCCCTATCCCACATATGTTTTTACTGTTGATGTTGTTCAAGAGAGTTATTGTAAAGTGGATCAAATGATTGATTAAGCCACAGCTGGTTTTTAAAAAATATTTCTAAAAACTAAGCATGCTTTTAAAATAAAACAGGTGAAGAGCTCTATGAACCTTGAAAACAAATGTACGAATTAGTGAAAAAATGATTATTTTGCTCTTCCATATTAACTTTCATAGTGTTTGGGTAGTATTTCCTAGTTTAACAGAAAATAATAGATATTGCGTGTACTGCTAATCACCTGGTCACTGCTCCTTTTAAAATGTTTTGACTGCAAGAAATGAACAGAAGATGTGTGCTAGGAGTGATGGGCTCTAGGTTCTTGTGCTGTGGCTATTAGCAACTGGTTGTCTGACAAGCAAGCTTACGTTTTGTGATGTTGTGATAAACTGTTATTTTTAAGGTGCCAGATTTGGCCCAAGAACATGAGTGGGCAATTTATCCCAATAGTTCCCATAATCAACTGTGAAAACCTCCAACTGTCAGGCTTTTTCTCTACTTCCCTGCTCATCACAAGCAAGATGCCGTCACTAGTCAGAAATCTTCCAGATGGTACGTGCAGCTTTTTGGGGTCTGCCTGATGAGAGTAGTAAATGATTAAGCACTCATGAAGGTAAGCATCAGCTTGTGACTACTGCTCTCTTGAATAATAGAGCAAGGTGTGTTATCAAGCCAACAAAGTGCCAGAAAAAATGTAGGTATGTGAATCTCAAACACCACTTTACCTCAAATATCATTTGAGCCTGCCACTTTACCACACTACACCATGGGAAGTACTCCCAATGCTCTGCAAAGGGCCATGGGAAGACTCGGGCACCACGAATGACTGTACACATCATTAACTCACCTGAGGAGTTCCAGGGGTTTTGGTGGGACTAAGGGCAGAAGGTCGTGTATCCCTAAGCTTTGCGTCCTCCAATTTACCTTCATGTTTGTGAGGACCAGGGAAGGATTCTGAGGCTTGAGAGTGTCATTTGATCTTATCCAGGCAAGCACAAAGTGCTGTAGCCAGTGAACTGTTGAGTTTCTTCTGGAAATGCTATGCTTCATAAGTTGTTCCTTTCTGAATAATCAGAGAAATGTATGTGCATGATGAAGAATTAAATATTAACTTTTTAAAAATCTCTGCTGTAAATAGGCAGTGTCTCTGGAGCTGATATATCCAGGCTATAAAGCTTCTGGTTAGGACATGGGTTATCAGTTTTGCCATTTTTTTTCTCTAGCTCTGCTTCCAGAGATGTAGCTCATGGGGGAGGGGGAGGAAGATGCCTTTGTGTCCATCTTATCTGTTCTAACAAAGTGAAAGAATTGAAGAGCATAGCTGTCCACCTTTGCAGTGACCTCAGAGAGGTTCTCTACAGAGTGGGTCTGTAGGAGCAGCCCTAGAGCTTTGAAAGGCTGATGACCAAAGAGGTAAAAGCTGTCATGTGCATACATGAGGCCTTTCAGGAACAGTCAGACCGAAACAATGGTGGTATTATCCTTCCAGACAGCACAACCAAATCTTAGCAAAATACATTGTTTTAAAATTTCTGCTCTCCTTTATGTCAGGCCAATTGTTAAATGTTTCATTTCTTTCATACTGTTGGATCAGCTGTTGAAAGCCTCCTAGGTGAGTGGTACCTGACCAAAAGTCTTTAACACGTGGCTGGGAACATGCACACATAATCTCTAGCTTGTTCCTCTCCTGATGTCAATCTCTCTCTCTTACATTTGTTATTAATTACACTGCCTATTTAAGTAATAGTACAGGGCTATTTTTTTTTAATTTTTTTTTTTTCAGGATTCCTGACAAAGGCTTCATCTGAGTGTTTCACAGAATCACAGAAATACCAAGGTTGGAAAAAACCTACAAGATCATCCACCTATCACTAATAGTTCTCACTAAACCACGTCCCCAGCACAAAATCCAAATGTTCCTTGAACACCTCCAGGGTCAGTGACTCCCACTTCCCTGGGCACCCGTTCCAGTGCCTGATCATTCTTTCAGAAAAGTAGTATTTCCTAACGTCCAGCCTGAATCTCCCCTGCCGTAGCTTGAAGCCATTCCCTCTGGTCCTATCACTAATGACACGAGAGAAGAGGCCGACCCCCAGCTCACTACAGCCTCCCTTCAGGAAGTTATAGAGAGCAATGAGGTCTCCCCTGAGCCTCCTCTTCTCCAGGCTGAACATTCCCAGCTCCTTCAGCTGCTCCTCATGAGCCCTGTGTTCCAGACCCCTCACCAGCTTTGTTGCCCTGCTTTGAACACGTTCCAGGGCCTCAACATCTTTCTTGCAGTGAGGGGCCCAATACTGGACACAGCACTTGAAGTGGCCTCACCAGAGCTGAGTACAGGGGGATGATCACTTCCCTGTTCTTGCTGGCAATGCTGTTTCTGATGCAAGCCAGGATGCCATTGGCTTTCTTGGCCACCTGGCTGAGAGTGTTCCTGTCCAAGCCACCGGCTGCCAGCTTCTACAGGAGAATGCTGTGGGAGACAGTGCCAAAGGCTTTGCTGAAGTCTAGGTAGACCACATCAACTGCCTTTCCCTTGTCATTAGCTCCTAGAAGGAGATCAGGTTGGTCAAGCAGGAACCCTTTGTGAACCATGCTGGCTAGGCCTGATCCCCCAGTTGTCCTGTACGTGCCAGTGATCTCCCTCAAGACAATCTGCTCCATTTCTGAATTCCTGATGTAAACATATATTAGAATATATTAGCGTATAATGTACATAGATATATTCCTATATAAATATAATATATACATAAGGAACGGTGTTTTTCTATTAAAAAACTGGAGAAAATTGACTGTACAGGCAAAAAATGTAAAATTGAAGCATGATATCTGGTGGAGAAAGATACCTGATAGGTCTTGTGGAGTTTAAAGGCTAAAAATGGCTTGAGGCTTTCTACATAAGCACAGTATGTGCAGTTCAGAAAGAAGAATATTTTCAAGTTTGGCTCCAAATATTGAAACTAAATTTAGAGTGGGATTTTTCAGAAATCCTGGTGGATTTATAAACTACTTAAATGCTATCCATAACCTCTGATAGAAAGAAAGAAAGACAAAGTAAGATTCCCTGAGCTGATCAATAATTAAATGTATGTTTGAAGGAATTTTTTCCTCTGCCTGGCTAAATACACATTTAAGTTGAAAGTTACATTATCTTGTATAACAAAAGGCTGTGGTTCAGTCTAATCTCAAATTATGTGCAGGATGGCTGCAGCATAGGTCACCTTAATACAGCTGGTTTATAGGCAGTGATGTGTGAGTGCTCTTTGCTCACCTTGAAGAAATGCTGCCTATGAATTGTAAAATACTAGAGCACTCTTCTTATTTGCTGATTCCACTAACAAAATTGCATGGTATAATTGAAGGACAGGATTGGTTGATTGGGATCACATTTTTCCTTTGCTTTATACACAAGATATATGCCATCATGAGCTGCTTCACTGAGGGCTATCTTGGAGTATTGTTTAGACAGTGATGTCTGGATGCAAGAATTGGCAGAGGGGGGCTGAGAAGAAAAAGAGGTGTATACTACAGGGATGATTATGCACTTTTGCTGTTATCTAGAGGAACAGAAATTGAGAATCGTGTCTAGCCTTTTCTAATATGTGGCTAATATATGGAGGAGAGCATTCTTCACATTGCTACTGTGGTCAGCACATCCAGTGTTGTGGGGTGGGAGAAAAATCAGTGTGGATACCAGGATTTTCTTTTCTTAAGGCATTTTGATTTATTTCAATTTTGAAGCAGAATATCCGTAACTGGACTTGAAAAGTTTCGCTTTGGAAAAAAAACCACCATCATCCCTTGTTCCTATTGCCCCTTTCAAAATACTTGAAAATATTGTGGTAGGAGGCCATTCCAAATGAGAAATTAAAACACCTTATTTTGGAATCTCAGTCTTCCCATAGTACTGAGTTTAAAATTATTTTTTCTCTAAAATCATTTCATTGAAAAGGCCTTATTTCTACTTATTTACTCGTTTGATAGATAAACCTTAATGTCCGCACTGTTCCCTGAATTAATTTTGTTTTAAGTTATTCTCAAAGCCCCAGTAAATATTATCTGAGGTTTCAGTGATATTGCAAGACTCATCCTGTTTCTGACCACATCTGTGGAGCTAAAAGGCTTCACTTGCACCAAATTATCACCATTACTGACTATGCAGCCAAGCTTGCAGTGCTTGTACCAGTAGCCACACTGGCTGTATTTCAGACCATTGCTCTTTGAAGCATTTGACTTTTTTTAAGACTTTAAATCATTCCTAAATTTTCTTGAGTCTAATTCTCAGTTACCCAATTGCTCCAAGAAGGATTAGG